CTACCATTGGTCAGTAGCAATATATGTCGTTAATTGGATTGGCTGAATTAGGATGTTGATTTAACTTAAGCAAACATCTATAAATACATACGATTTTCTGTACAAAGATGATCCTTGCAGTAAAGGTTTTCTCTGTTACTCGTATCTTCTCTCTAGTCTTCAAGTTGCTGAGTAGTGCTAGCCCTGGGGTTATCCGAATAGCTTAGGATCTGAATAAAGCGTTTAACCTACGAGATATAACAACTGGCGACGGGGTAATTTATCAAAATGTCTATTACCTTTGACCAATTTGAAGCTTTTCTTGAGCGCCATGAAAAACGTTTCGAGCAGTTCCAGATTCTCATACTTGAAACACTGACCCAGCAAATGAACCTGAACAAGAATGGACTTACAGATGCTTCTGCTAAATCGCATGCTGATTTTGTCAATGATTCCATTCATGAATTTCATTTTGATGGTTTGGCTGGTGTAACATTCGAATCTTGGTACAAGAAATATGAAGATGTATTTAATGTTGACCTAGAAACGTTTGATGATGCTGCCAAGATCAGGGTGCTACTACGAAAGCTGGCGACCGTTGAACATGAACGATACACTAATTACATTCTGCCCAAGAACCCAAGAGACATTTCATTCGAAGAAACAGTTAAAATTTTGTCGCAAATTTTCGGTGAACAGTCTTCCTTGTTCAATATTTGGTATTAGTGCTTGAAGATAATAAAAGCTGGCAACGATGATTGGGTGCAACATGCTAGCATAGTAAATCGTGAATATGAGCGCTTTAAACTATCAGCAATGACAGAAGACCAATTCAAATGTCTTGTTTTCGTATGCAGCTTACAGTCTTCAGAAGACGCCGACATCAGAACCAGAATTTTAAGTAAAATGGAACAGTGTCCAAACGTAACTCTACAAGAAGTTACTACCGAGTGCCAAAGGTTAGTGAACTTAAAGCATGATACCTCAATGGTAGAAAACGGTAACTGTTTCCATAATGTCAATGCAGTCAAGAGAAAATCCTTGCAAGGTTCCAGCACATGTAATTATCGTAATAACGGCGGCAAACCATCATCTCCATGCTGGGCATGCGGAGACTGGCACTGTAAGAGGTTTTGCCCGTATAAAGAACATTGTTGTAGTAAGTGTCATCGAAAGGGCCATATAAAAACCAGCTGCAGTAAAAGAAACTATAAACGACATTTTTCAAAATCTTACTTCAAGAAATACAGGTCTGGGGCATTAACGAAAAGAATTTTGGTATCGCATAACAAAGCTCGAATGTGCCGCCAGAGAAAGTACGTAACCTTGAATATTAATAAACACCGCATTCGACTTCAGCTTGATACTGCTTCTGATATTACTTTAATAAGTCCAGAAACTTGGAAGAAGATTGGGCGACCCACGGTGCATCGAACAACACAAATAGCACACAGTGCATCAGGTGGAAAGTTAAACATTGTTGGAGAGATACCTTGTATTGTGTCTAAAGATGCTGTAACAACAAATGCAACAGCGTATTTTATAAAGAAGCCAGCACTCGACTTAATGGGGTTGGATCTTATATAAACACTTGACCTAGCAGACCACTCTATTAACAGTGTCTGCAAACGAATCACAACTTACAACACCTATGAGTGGAGTCAGAAAAATGCCATGCTACAAAAACACCAAGACGTGTTTAAAGAAGGATTATGCGAATGCACGAGGGCTAAAGCAGTGCTAACTCTAAAGTCTGCAGCTACTCCCATTTTTCGACCTAAAAGACCTGTGCCCTATGCTGCTCTTCCAATAGTCGAACAGGAATCACAACGACTTCAGCAAATGGATGTTATCGAGCCTGTGAACTTCTCGAACTGGGCTGCACCGATAGTGGTGGTCAAGAAGTCGAATGGAAGTATCCGTCTATGTGCAGACTATTCCACAGGATTAAATGAAGCTCTAAAGTCCCATCAGTATCCGTTGCCCTTACCAGAAGATCTTTTCGCCAAGCTGAACGGTGGCAGATATTTTGCGAAATTGGACGCATATCTACAAATCCCGGTATCTGATGAAAGCAAAGATCTTTTAACGATCAACACACACAAAGGTCTGTTCCGGTATAACCGACTACCTTTTGGGGTGAAGACAGCGCCTTCTATTTTTCAGCAAATTATGGATACCATGTTACAAGGTATTCCAGGGGCAGCAGCTTACTTAGAAGACATCATAATTATGGCAGTAGATAAAATGGACCTGCAGAAGAAACTAGACCAGGTACTAGAACGCATAGCCGATTATGGTTTTCGACTCCGAGCGGAAAAATGTGACTTCTATATGCAGCAAGTTCATAATAGATAAAGACGGAAGACGACCAGATCCAGAGAACATTGAAGCAGTGAAAATAATGTCTAGACATTACCACCCTACGATCATTCTTGGGGTTGGTCAGCCATTATGGTACCTTCCTCCCCGATCTCCATCGTCTACGTGCTCCACTAAACAACCTACTACAAAAGAATATTAAATGGAATTGGTCTGCAGACTGCCAGGCGTCTTTCGAGAAAATCAAGCAACTCCTGACTTCCAATCTCTCATTGGCACACTATGATCCTTCTCGCTTCAGATGCTTCTAACTATGGTTTGGGTGCAGTTATCTCTCACATTTTTCCTGATGTGTCTGAAAAAGCTATCTCACACGCTGCCAGATCGTTGACAACGACCGATTGAATAAGAGGCCCTATCAATTATCTTTGCAGTGAAGAAGTTCCATAAGATGATATATGGCCGACATTTTACTCTATTAACAGACCATAAACCACTACTTGCAGTTTTTGGGTCAAAGAAAGGTATTCCAGTTCATACAGCTAACCGACTCCAACGATAGGCAACCACACTTCTTGGTTACGACTTCAAGATAAAGTATCAGTCTACTACCGCCTTCGGACAAGCTGACGCATTGTCAAGATTAATAGGCTCTCAATTAAAAACCCCAGAGGAGACTCTTGTAGCAAATATAAAAGCCGAGGAAGAAGTTAATCGTGTATTGGATGACGCAATCAATGGACTTCCAGTAACCTTTGAAACTATCAAGAAGATCACTGAAAATGATAAGATACTGAGCACAGTCAAATGCTATCTCTCAACCAAATGGCCAAATCATCGCCTTGACGGAGAACTCTTGCAATATTTTCGTCGACGGGACTCACTAATGGTTGTTGACTCGTGTATTATGTTCGGTGATCGAATTGTTATTCCGAAGTTATTACGTCACAAGGTTCTCAAGCAGTTTCACAGTGGCCATCCTGGAATAAGTAAAGTGAAATCGTTGGCATGTAGTTATGCTTAATGGCCGTCAATGGACAAAGATATCGAGAATAAATGCCGTAACTGTCCATCATGCATTCAAGCCACTAAAAATCCTGTGAAATGTGAACCTCAGTATTGGCCTACGCCTGCAGGACCCTGGGAAAGAATTCATGCAGATTTTGCTGGTCCAGACCAAGGAAAAATGTTTCTAATTATCGTAGATGCATTTACTAGATGGCCGGAAGTATATACCATGCCAAATTGTACAACCTCAGAAACAATCTACAAGCTGTCTACCCTGTTTAACTGTTTCGGAGTACCAGAGACCTTAGTAACAGACAACGGCTCGCAATTCGCCGCAGAATCGTCTAAGCATTTCTGTAAAGCGAACGGAATAACTCATCTTCGTTCTCCGCCCTATCATCCACAATCTAACGGACAAGCAGAACGCTTCGTGGACACTTTTAAACGAGCATTACGGAAGGGGGGAGGCGAAGGGCCGACGGGGCAGGTGATCACGAAATTTTTAACATCCTACAGATCCACTCCGAATCCGAATGTTCAGGACGGCAAGTCTCCTGCGGAAGTCATGTTCGGAAGACGTGTTCTAACCGTCTTCAACGCCATGTTGCCATCCCAGTTAGTTGATGAGCGCAGTCACAATCCAAGTATTCGGAATTTCAATGTCGGCGACAAGTTTACATTAAATCCTACATCGGGAAGAACCGATGGGGGCCGGGAGAAGTACAAAAATTGGGAAGAGTTCTGTACAGAGTTCGAGGAACTTTTGGGATGTGTATACGACACACAAATCGAATCCTTAGAGACAAAAGAATGATGCAGAATCGAAGTAACCCGCCGAATTTTCCGTTAGATTTAATCTTAGACGCACCAATGCCACAAACGCCAAAAAACACTGGAAGGAAGCCGTGGTCAGGGAAGACAACGAGAATAATGGGACGACGACGCAACCCAGTTAGCAAACTACAAGTTGACCCTAGGAAGAAGTCTTATTCGGGGGAGGTGTTAAGTCGGCTTCCAGCGAACTCCGACAGAGCCTCCAGAGGCTCAAAAAGAGTCCCAACCAATCAGAGTACGACAGAGCATTCTGGAGTTCCAACGTGGCACGCTACCATTGGTCAGTAGCAATATATGTCGTTAATTGGATTGGCTGAATTAGGATGTTGATTTAACTTAAGCAAACATCTATAAATACATACGATTTTCTGTACAAAGATGATCCTTGCAGTAAAGGTTTTCTCTGTTACTCGTATCTTCTCTCTAGTCTTCAAGTTGCTGAGTAGTGCTAGCCCTGGGGTTATCCGAATAGCTTAGGATCTGAATAAAGCGCTCAACCTACGAGATATAACATTATTGTAACGTAGGAGCTGTGTCCCACGCCGTGCTGCAACGTGATCTGGTGCGGATGCATGACCGAAAGCCTTCAGCTAAACAAGTCCACTTAAACAACGTGGTCAGCATCCAATGTCGAACACTTAATGAGCTTGGGGAATCGGGGAATTATTTACAGCTACAGGCTCAACATTGAATTTAATGTAAGTAAAGATCTATGGTTAACTTTAAGTTCAAAACTTAGGTCAATGCACCAATATAGGTACAATTAAAACACGATTATGTTGTGTGTTTAACTGTTTCGAACAATCAGTTTCGGAAAGTTATTGAGTCGCGGGGACTGGTTGACCCTGAGAGTAGTCATGTTTCCCATTGATTGGGTGTGCACTACTGCTCGCTTGGAACCTATAAATTATGTTCGAAAGCCGCAGGTTATTCTACGTTTAGTTGTTGTGGTAATTTCATTCCATGTACAAGAAAATAAGTACATTTAGATATTAGCAGTTGTCAATATTGCAATTGTACATAACGGCTGCTATATTTATGGGAAGTGCTTGTTTAATGACGATCAGGCATCTTGTGGATATAGTTCATTTCTTTCTTCATCAACAATAATCCTTTACCTCGCCTATCTTTGGTTGGATTTAATAGTGGACAATATTACAAGCATTGATATACGTTTGCGAATCGCTAAATTCGACGTAGTGTTGTCAGGTAATTCGTATATTTTGATTGTATTCGGTATAGCAACAATTCACTTTCCTTCGGTCAAATTTTTTGGCCAGTTTAATGCTCGACTTAGCTGTTGAAACTTGTGTAAGAGTAAGGTAAAGTCCTTTAAAGATTCACAACTTAAAACTAACTATATAGTGTTTGATAAAGATACTCAACAGCCGAGATTTACGCAAAGTGATTCATTCTTCATGTCACTGTATGCGCAAATTAGACTAACAATCGAGTAGCTTCTTAGTAACATTGGTCGGCAGCTAGTATTACTGCAACTTCTTTTGTTTATTCATGTATTCAACGAATTGTTATCCTCGAGGGTACAAGTAAGATAGTTGAATCTTCAGTAATCAGAGTAATAAGTCGACTGACCATTGCTAATCCTTACACTTTCTCTGAAGGTCCTGTATATCTTCAGAACTATTCGCCTTTGAAAATTATACCATTTGCTTGGTTAGAGCATTTCAGTCGTTGATCACTTGATAAGGAAACTGAAATCCCACCCTGGGCTGGTTCGATTAGAGTTTTTGTGGTCTCGAAGATGATTAATCCTAACGAGAGCAGTCAGTTATGTCAGCGCCCAAATCATTATTTCAGATACAAAATGTCAAAATTAAATGTCTTTGCACTTTACGACAAGGAGAGGTTGGAGTATTTTGATTCAGTAGACTTTATAAACTTAGTTTCCAAACAAGTTTATCAGCTTCGCTACTTTATTTATTTGAACACAAATATTGGTACAAGGGAACACCAGATATATATACACCACACAAGATTGTCGTTTCATTTAATTATATGAACGCTATGATACCTTCCGGGTGCCCATCCCGAAGCAGGTGATTTTCTTAGGGGGCCACACCCGCAGCCTTTGACCTAAAGATCTGACCCACAAGGCAGTGGAGCATCGTGAGGAAATACTGCCCTATGGTAGCCGGTGACCAACAATTAGTTCATACGCCATTTGTTCCCCCAGGGTGCTGGAGCCCATGTTCTTCATTGGTATGAAATCGCGGTTTTGCAACTCCTATAGGTGGACTCCCCGTGTCCACCAACCCGGTTGAAGCGCCGGACATTCGCTTTTCGTCCTCTCAATTTCGTAAACATCCTCGCCACGAGAAGACAATGAGTAGGACTTCCCTGGCAGAGGCTGTATACGCGTGGCCATGTGAGAGTATTTTGAGTGGGTGGAAGGGCCCTCTGATTCTGAGGTCAACAGATTATTTTTCTTAGTGTTAAGCTTACCAACCTCGTAGGCTGACAGTTAGGTACGAGCTGTTTCTACCCATTCTTGAAACAGTGGCTAGTAGCAACATCATTCTATTTTATTGGCAAGTTGACATACTCAATAGATCCCCAGAGGCACTGTGTTCTAGGGGTGACAATAGGTGAGAGGTAAACTCCATCAAGACTCAGTGACTTACCGGCTTTCTGGTTACTAAAATAATGTATTCTTTGTGCCAATAATGGCTATACCCCCAAGACGACTATGTATGTAACATGTTAACGATGCCCATTGACTAGTCTGTTAAGCTTTTAACTTTGACCGTCCGAGTCAGCTAGTATGTTTGAATGCTCATGCAACAATCTCCATGTTAGTCATTTTTTTGTAGGTCTTGTCATACAAAATAAGCATTAGGCGTTCTACATATATTCCTAACCTAGAAGCTTTGTGACCAGTCCTAAATAACCAACTTCAGCAATGCTTCCTACACTTTTGTAACTTCGGGATTGTCTGCGTATAGAGTACCATGGGTTTAAGGGGCTTGTGACTCCTTCCACTGTGGTCTCAAACTTTCTCCATGCTTCTTCAATGGACCAGTCCTTGTTTGCCGACCAGTTCTTCGAGACACGACAGTCTGGTGGCTGAAATATCTAGACTTGCGGGAACGTGTGTTTTAAACCTAAGGTAATTTACAGAGTAATCGTTATTTACCATTGAGAGTTTACCAAGGTTTTAATGTGTGTTAGTGTAATGATGTATAGTAATTGTCAGTAAATTATCATCTAGTTATTTGTGTCATAGTTTCATCCTTTCTCCCTTCCTCATGAATGTCTTTTAGATTAACAGTGATTTCCCTACAACGTGTAGGATTTTTCATGATGGAAACTAAATTTACAGTCATTTTCGGTTTAACAGCCGTCTAATTTTCGAAATTATAATTATTTGGTACAGTCATTCACATCGCACTTACTCGAAAATTGTATTGACAAGTTTTCCATCATTGTAAAGAATAGATTTTACCCTTAATACGCTTATAACCTTTTTGTATTACTTCAAATCCCTCATCTTCGTGACGATCTACAAGTTATATTTCATAGATGTTTACAATGCGCACTTAGTGCTTCTGTTTCCTTAGTAAATCATCGAAATTATTAATTTTAGATTTATCACGGTTCACGTTCACATCATGCTGTATCTACCCGAATTAATGATAGGGAGTGGAGCAGTTGAAAACACCGACCCCTTATCTTGGGAGTCTCACCAGCCCATCCAATATGAACAATCCTTCAGAGACAAAATATCTGAACAGCTATGTATCTAATGGTCTTTGGATTAGATACGAAAGTAATAAATCGTCATATACGCTTCCCTTTTAATAAATTGAAAGTTATACATGTGTCTGCAATGGGCTGTCGTAATTTTGATATATATATATATATAACTAGGTTATATATGCAGTCGCTTGCTAACTTATTTTATCTATACTTTCGGTTATTCTTAATGATTGTTTTTCGTTTTTTTAACACCTGTCACAACATCCATGCTTTTATGTGAGCTCGCTTCTGTCTTAGCTTTATTTCACATAAGTATAGTTCTACGAAGTTGGCAATATTACCATCTCCACCCTAGTAAACGATCTCTTTGTTTATGTGGTACTCGAAAATTTTTTCGATATTATTGGTTGATAAAGTTTCGGATTCAACTATTTTTATTCTTTATTCTGGTATTTTCTAAAGTGATATTAGGGTGGTTATTATAACCTGCTATTTATTCTATCATATACTCACTATTCGTATACTGTACGTGGGTTTGTTTTCAAAAACACCGACCTCACATGTTTGGCGGTTAGTATTTTCCTTTGTTCCAATTACAAGTCATACATTACTTACTTACTTTCGCCTGTTACTCCCAATGAAGCATAGGCCGCCGACCAGCATTCTCCAACCCACTCAGTTCTGGGCCTTCTTTTCTAGTTCTTTCCAGTTCTTGTTCATTCTTCTCATGTCTGTCTCTATTTCTCGGCGTAATGTGTTCTTTGGTCTTCCTCTTCTCCTTCGACCTTCAGGATTCCATGTGACGGCATGTCTTGTGACACAATTGGGTGATTTCCTCAAAGTGTGCCCAATCCACTTCCAGCGCTTCTTCCTGATTTCTTCCTCCGCTGGAATCTGGTTTGTTGTCTCCCACAGTAACTTGTTGCTGATAGTGTCTGGCCATCGGATCCGAAGTATCTTGCGTAGACAGCTGTTAATAAACACTTGTATCTTCTGGATAATGGCTTTCGTAGTTCTCCACGTCTCTGCCCCATACAGAAGAACTGTCTTGACATTTGTATTGAAAATTCTAACCTTGGTGTTGGTTGACAATTGTTTTGAGCTCCATATGTTTTTCAGCTGTAGGTATGCTGCTCTTGCTTTGCCGATCCGCGCCCTCACATCTGCATCTGATCCACCGTGTTCATCAATGATGCTGCCCAGATATGTAAAGATTTCTACATCCTCCAAAGCTTCTCCGTCAAGTGTAATTGGATTGGTGCATATTGTATTGTATCGGAGAGTCTTGCTTTTCTCTTTGTTTATATTGAGACCTACTGCTGCTGAGGCTGCTGCTAAACTGGTCGTTTTCTCCTGCATTTGTTGTTGCGTTTGTGATAGAAGAGCCAGATCATCCGCAAAGTCTAGATCGTCAAGCTGCATCCTGCCTGTCCACTGTATCCCGTGCTTTACTCCAGTCGTTGACGTCTTCATGATCCAGTCGATGACCAGGGGAAAGAGAAAGGGTGAGAGTAAGCAACCTTGCCTTACACCAGTCTTTACTTCAAACGAGTCGGTGAGTTGTCCTCCGTGGACGATTTGGCAGTTTAGTCCATCATAGGAGTTCCGTATGATGTTGACTATCTTCTCAGGCACGCCGTAGTGTCGAAGAAGCCTCCATAGTGTCGTCCTGTCCACGCTATCAAATGCCTTCTCGTAGTCGATGAAGTTGATGTAGAGTGATGAGTTCCATTCGATTGATTGTTCCACAATGATCCGCAGAGTTGCGATTTGATCTGTGCACGATCTATCCTTACGAAATCCAGCTTGTTGATCTCGAAGTTGGGCGTTCACGGAATCCTTCATCCTGTTTAACAATACCCTGTTGAAGACTTTCCCTGGTATTGAGAGAAGAGTAATGCCCCTGTAGTTGTCGCACTTGCTAAGATCACCTTTCTTTGGTATTTTGATCAGAAGTCCTTTTTTCCAGTCTGTTGGTACTTGTTCTTCGTCCCAAATCTTACTGAAGAGGATGTGGAGTATCTTGGCAGTTGCTGTTACATTTGCTTTCAGTGCCTCTGCCGGGATGTTGTCTGGTCCCGCTGCTTTGCCACTCTTGATTTGTCTAATGGCCATGCTGATCTCTTCAATTGTTGGTGGGCCAATATCGATTGGGAGGTCTGTGGGTGCTGCTTCGATGTTGGGTGGGTTCAGTGGAGCTGGTCGATTCAAGAGTTCCTTGAAGTGTTCTACCCACCTGTTTCGTTGTTCTTCAATATCGTTGATTACTTTGCCTTCCTTGTTTTTCACTGGTATTTCTGGTTTACGGTAATTTCCAGCAAGTTTCTTTGTTGTATCATACAGTTGTCTCATGTTTCCCTCTCTTGCAGACTTTTCCGCTGTCATCGCTAAATCTTCCACATATTTACGTTTGTCGGTTCTGATGCTCCTCTTCACTTGCTTGTTTGCCTCTGTGTATTCGGCTTGTGCCTTGGCTTTTTCTGCTCTTGTTCGGCTGATATTGATTGCTACCTTCTTTTCATCCTTTCTTCAATTTTATCCAGTGTACCAACAGTGATCCATTCCTTGTGATGGTGCTTCTTTTGGCCCAGAACCTCCTGACATGTTGAAACGATTGCCTCCTTGATACTTTTCGAGTTGCTCTCCATTGAGTAGATCATGAAAGGCCTGGAATCAGTTGCTGAGGGCTATGTTGAATTTGTTGAGTTTTTCAGCATCTCGAAGAAAGGCCGTATTAAACTTTTGTGATGTTGTCCGCACCGTCGTCCAGTGCTTCTTGAGTTTTAGTTTCATCTTGGCGACCAGCAAATGATGATCGGATGCTATATCAGCTCCTCTTCTGGTTCTCACATCCTCCATCGTCCTCCTGAACTTTTTGTTGATGCAGACATGGTCGATTTGATTTTGTGTAGTGTGATCCGGTGAAATCCAAGTGGCTTTGTGTATGTTTTTGTGTGGGAATATGGTGCCACCTATGACGAGTTTATTGAAGGCACATAGGTTTGCAAATCTCTCACCATTTTCGTTCCTTTCTCCCAGTCCATGTTGTCCCATGACGTCTTCGTATCCAGTGTTGTCCTTTCCAACCTTGGCATTGAGATCTCCCATCAGAATGGTCAGGTCTTTGGTTGGGCACTTCTCGAAGATCGACTGCAGCCTATCGTAGAATTGGTCTTTAGCGTCTTCATCGTAGTCGTTGGTCGGCGCATAGCATTGGATGACGTTCATTGTAATGCCCTCTCTCTTTGTTTTGAAGGAGGCTTTGATGATCCTCGGTCCATGAGATTCCCATCCTATAAGTGCATTTTGTGCTTTTCTAGACAGCATCAGTGCCACTCCTTGTGTATGTGGGGCATTTTCTTCTTCATGACCGGAGTATAACAGAAGTTCTCCTGAAGACAGTCGTAGTTGTCCAACCTGCGTCCAATGTGTTTCACTGATTCCAAGCACTTCCAGGTTGTATTTTCTCATTTCTGCAGCGATTTGGAAGACTCTTCCGGTCTCCCATATTGTCCGGACATTCCATGTACCTATAAAAATTGTTGCTCTGGTTTTAAGAAGGTGCATCGGCCTCATGACTTCCGAATGAACTCGGCTTTCATCATGAGACGTCATTTTTCCTTCTACTCCCAGGGCAGAGTTTGAATGGTTTGAATGATTTTTTCTGGTTAGCGTTTTTTTAGCGAGTTGATTTTCTACGGGATGGGGTCGCTAACCCCATGCCCAACCCTCCTCCTTTACCCGGGCTTGGGACCGGCAGTAGCCCCCAGAGGAGCTACAGGCGTAGTTACAAGTCATACATATTTGTGTAAAATATGGCACAATGGTAAACTTTGGGAAATTTTTCATCTCAAAATCAACGGAGTAATGTACACTATGGAGTAAAATTAGAAAAAGGGACTCCAGTATCCCAAGTTAGGATCAGATGTCTGTTGTGGCAAATGTCCATTCAGTCAATCGCATATTTGTGGTTAAGCTATTTATTTGTTTTTGTCAAATGAAACAGTAAAACTATTTTTGATCAGTTTTCATGTGCATATCCAAAAGTTATGGCTTGCACTTGAAGTACATGTGGTGAATTTACTAAAAAGCTAACGTAATTTTAATGTTTCGATCGACGACCCTTTCAGGTCTGAAAGTGATCGTTATTTTCGAGAATCATGAATATTATTCAAGTCAACTCGTATCCCCTACTAATATCGAAGTTTGTCGATCAAGTCTATGTTACACTAAACATTGTGACATTTGTGTTTAAGGACCACAAACTCTTTTTCACTATACAAATTCATGAAGTTTCTGTCTCTGTAGCACAGCTCCATGTGATAAGTTTATATAAATCCAGTTTTTGCAGATTTAGTACCTCCTGTCACTAATATGAATATCTTCAGAAAACAATTCATGTTCAGATGCCAAAAGAAAACTGAGTTAAGTAATATTTCGGTTGTAACCATACTTCTAAAGTATGTCTTAAAAATTAACATATCTAGCTAGACTGTGTTGCTAAGGTATAAATATTTCAATATAATAATACTAATGTTTCCAAATCTGTATGAACCACATTTGAGTTACAACTTTGTTTCACTAGTGACTTTAATATTTCTTCATTTTCTCTGAAAGTCAGTATAATTTCAAAGATTTGTGGGGTGTCTCTAAGTGTTTAATAGATTTCAGTATCATATCTAATCTCGTGTTACTGCAGAAAATCGTCTTACAGCTATTTTAAAACATTAAGATTTCTACCTCTGACAAAATATCTTTATCTTACTGACTGAATCGTGCATAACGAGACTAAATGGTTACCTGCCCATCTAGCTCAAAACGAGTCTTCTTTTACGATGTTGTCTTTTTTTTAATAAAAAAATTGTCGTCATACCTTCATCTTACCAACATTCTTCAAGCGTTTACTTTTGCAGAAAAGTAGCTTTTCGTTGGCATATGTTTTTGTGTGTAGCAGGAATTGATCCTACTCTGTTTTTGATGCTCATAATAAAATACTTGCCATTTCAAATTTGTGAACAAAATTACTGAATGTGAAAAAGTTTCTAGTTTGTCACTTTTTAATTCAGGAGCTTGCTTTGTTTTCATTTATAAGCAGGTTATAGACGGTTATTTTTATGAAACAATTTACACCACTCTATTGCAAATAAATACTTAGTTAGTAACTACATAATAAACAGTGAGTGAGTGAACCAAGTTGACGTCGCAAAAGTAAGTCTATTTTTTGTATACCTGGAACAATTTTGTTGGCTTGTGTATCATTTGTTTACGACCCACTGTATTCTCCTTTAAAATATAAGTATTTCGGTAATATAAATTAATGATTATATTTTATTTAGCTGACGTTTTCCAAGTTCTGGAGTTGGAATCGGAGTTTTATAACATATAAACCTCAGTCTATTAATCCGGTGCCTTTGGATTTTATAGGTATTTGGTCCTTCCTATGGTTGATTGCATTTTGCTTACTTTGCAACCGCTGGCAAAATACAAGACAAGATTTTCTCACTGAGAATGAAGTTTCACCTGATGGACCGCGGACTGCTATTGCATTCAACTTTTTCAGTATGGTCGTATTAGTAAGTTTCGTTAAGCTTACTTAAACTTTATTGGCTGTAGGTCAGCTCAGTTGTAACAGCCTTGACTTGGATGCTGACTACTGTAGCTTTCCTATTATTGAGGCTCAGTTCTGACTAAATGCACGACTCTGCACTGTAGCCCGTCGTATGAATTTCGGTTGATGTTGACGATTTTCTCAGGTATACCATAGTGTCGAAGAATTTTCCATATGGTCCTGTCCACACTGTCAAACGCCTTCTCATAGTCAATAAAGTTGATATAGTGACGAGTTCCACTCAACTGATTGTTCAACGATGATTCGTAGTGTCACGATCTGGTCTGTGCACGATCGACATTAGCATACAGGTTAATAAAAACAAACGACATTAGCAGTCAGTCACAACGTAGAACTTAGTACGTACGTACATCAGTTTGAGTTACCATACCACATTACCACAGAGATGCAGTTGTCGATTCAAATCCCATAGTGGTAGAGGTGGTAAGAGTATAAGCAGTAATCGGAAAGATTAGGGTTTGAAGATGTTATTCAAGGAGTATAATACAGTGAAATAATTTGAGAAATAAAAAAGATAGGGACATGAAGAATTCAGATTAGAATTTGGTAGAACACAAAGAGTGGATGCACCTTCGCCATTGCAAACGATTTTGAGCCATGTCATTCAAGGTCTCTAACCATCGGTTGTTATCATTTCGCGGATCCCAACCAGGTAGTCTACACCTACCAACATGACTTAGTCCACTTGTCAGTGACTTCATGAATTTATGTTACGTTTTGGTCTGGCCGCCCTAGATTTCTCCCAACCTCCTCTTACACCATAAACCATTGCACGTCGGGACAGTCGGTGGTTGGGCATACGTAACACGTGTCCCAACCATCTCAACTGATGAAGTTTCACTTTGCTATACTTATACCGTTTCCTAACAACTGCATTACTTACCCGGTGGTCCCAGGATATACGAGCAATGCTTCGAAGACACCTATGATCGAATACTAGTAGCCTACGAATATCCTCTACTCTTACCGGCCATGTTTCACTGCCATAAAGTAGGGCGAAACGAACTGCTGCGCAGTAAATCCGTCCTTTTGTTGGTAGACGAATATCTCGCCCACGCCATAAATGACGCAAATTGGCGAAAGCTAGACGAGCCTTCTGTATCCGTGTTGAGATTTCGTCACACACCAGACCACAAGGGTTGATAAGACTCCAAAGATAAGTGAAGCAGTCGACACGCTCAACTACTTCATTCCCTATCATTAGTTCGGGTGTCTATACAATTCAATCATGAAGTAACATTTTGCATTTCGAGGGGGAAAATCCCATCCCGAACATGTCTACATTGTTGCTTACTGTGTTCAGAAGACTCTGCATTTTGTCGGCTTCTTCATCAAATAGAATTATGTCATCGGCGTATTCTAAGTCAACAAGTGAGTCTCCTGGTAGTTCAACGCCTCTAAATTTGGATGAGGAAGGTGTTATTTCTAAAAGCACGTCTACGATAAAGTTAAACAAGAATGGAGAGAGTGGACAATCTTGTCGGACACCACTTGAGGTAATCAATTCTGATGACAGTTCGCCATAAGCTCTCACTCGACCAGTTGTGTTTGAGTAGAGAGCCTTTATAAGGTTGATGTACTTCTTTGGCAACTCCGCCTGTAGCTCCTCCAGGGACTACTGCCGGTCCCAAGCCCGGGTAAAGGAGGAGGGTTGGGCATGGGGTTAGCGACCCCATCCCGTAGAAAATCAACTCGCTAAAAAAACGCTAACCAGAAAAAATCATTCAAACCATTCAAACTCTGCCCTGGGAGTAGAAGGAAAAATGACGTCTCATGATGAAAGCCGAGTTCATTCGGAAGTCATGAGGCCGATGCACCTTCTTAAAACCAGAGCAACAATTTTTATAGGTACATGGAATGTCCGGACAATGTGGGAGACCGGAAGAGTCTTCCAAATTTCTGCGGAAATGAGGAAATACAACCTGGAAGTGCTTGGAATCAGTGAAACACATTGGACGCAGGTTGGACAACTACGACTGTCTTCAGGAGAACTTCTGTTATACTCCGGTCATGAAGAAGAAAATGCCCCACATACACAAGGAGTGGCACTGATGCTGTCTAGAAAAGCACAAAATGCACTTATAGGATGGGAATCTCATGGACCGAGGATCATCAAAGCCTCCTTCAAAACAAAGAGAGAGGGCATTACAATGAACGTCATCCAATGCTATGCGCCGACCAACGACTACGATGAAGACGCTAAAGACCAATTCTACGATAGGCTGCAGTCGATCTTCGAGAAGTGCCCAACCAAAGACCTGACCATTCTGATGGGAGATCTCAATGCCAAGGTTGGAAAGGACAACACTGGATACGAAGACGTCATGGGACAACATGGACTGGGAGAAAGGAACGAAAATGGTGAGAGATTTGCAAACCTATGTGCCTTCAATAAACTCGTCATAGGTGGCACCATATTCCCACACAAAAACATACACAAAGCCACTTGGATTTCACCGGATCACACTACACAAAATCAAATCGACCATGTCTGCATCAACAAAAAGTTCAGGAGGACGATGGAGGATGTGAGAACCAGAAGAGGAGCTGATATAGCATCCGATCATCATTTGCTGGTCGCCAAGATGAAACTAAAACTCAAGAAGCACTGGACGACGGTGCGGACAACATCACAAAAGTTTAATACGGCCTTTCTTCGAGATGCTGAAAAACTCAACAAATTCAACATAGCCCTCAGCAACTGATTCCAGGCCTTTCATGATCTACTCAATGGAGAGCAACTCGAAAAGTATCAAGGAGGCAATCGTTTCAACATGTCAGGAGGTTCTGGGCCAAAAGAAGCACCATCACAAGGAATGGATCACTGTTGGTACACTGGATAAAATTGAAGAAAGGATGAAAAGAAGGTAGCAATCAATATCAGCCGAACAAGAGCAGAAAAAGCCAAGGCACAAGCCGAATACACAGAGGCAAACAAGCAAGTGAAGAGGAGCATCAGAACCGACAAACGTAAATATGTGGAAGATTTAGCGATGACAGCGGAAAAGTCTGCAAGAGAGGGAAACATGAGACAACTGTATGATACAACAAAGAAACTTGCTGGAAATTACCGTAAACCAGAAATACCAGTGAAAAACAAGGAAGGCAAAGTAATCAACGATATTGAAGAACAACGAAACAGGTGGGTAGAACACTTCAAGGAACTCTTGAATCGACCAGCTCCACTGAACCCACCCAACATCGAAGCAGCACCCACAGACCTCCCAATCGATATTGGCCCACCAACAATTGAAGAGATCAGCATGGCCATTAGACAAATCAAGAGTGGCAAAGCAGCGGGACCAGACAACATCCCGGCAGAGGCACTGAAAGCAAATGTAACAGCAACTGCCAAGATACTCCACATCCTCTTCAGTAAGATTTGGGACGAAGAACAAGTACCAACAGACTGGAAAAAAGGACTTCTGATCAAAATACCAAAGAAAGGTGATCTTAGCAAGTGCGACAACTACAGGGGCATTACTCTTCTCTCAATACCAGGGAAAGTCTTCAACAGGGTATTGTTAAACAGGATGAAGGATTCCGTGAACGCCCAACTTCGAGATCAACAAGCTGGATTTCGTAAGGATAGATCGTGCACAGATCAAATCGCAACTCTGCGGATCATTGTGGAACAATCAATCGAATGGAACTCATCACTCTACATCAACTTCATCGACTACGAGAAGGCATTTGATAGCGTGGACAGGACGACACTATGGAGGCTTCTTCGACACTACGGCGTGCCTGAGAAGATAGTCAACATCATACGGAACTCCTATGATGGACTAAACTGCCAAATCGTCCACGGAGGACAACTCACCGACTCGTTTGAAGTAAAGACTGGTGTAAGGCAAGGTTGCTTACTCTCACCCTTTCTCTTTCTCCTGGTCATCGACTGGATCATGAAGACGTCAACGACTGGAGTAAAGCACGGGATACAGTGGACAGGCAGGATGCAGCTTGACGATCTAGACTTTGCGGATGATCTGGCTCTTCTATCACAAACGCAACAACAAATGCAGGAGAAAACGACCAGTTTAGCAGCAGCCTCAGCAGCAGTAGGTCTCAATATAAACAAAGAGAAAAGCAAGACTCTCCGATACAATACAATATGCACCAATCCAATTACACTTGACGGAGAAGCTTTGGAGGATGTAGAAATCTTTACATATCTGGGCAGCATCATTGATGAACACGGTGGATCAGATGCAGATGTGAGGGCGCGGATCGGCAAAGCAAGAGCAGCATACCTACAGCTGAAAAACATATGGAGCTCAAAACAATTGTCAACCAACACCAAGGTTAGAATTTTCAATACAAATGTCAAGACAGTTCTTCTGTATGGGGCAGAGACGTGGAGAACTACGAAAGCCATTATCCAGAAGATACAAGTGTTTATTAACAGCTGTCTACGCAAGATACTTCGGATCCGATGGCCAGACACTATCAGCAACAAGTTACTGTGGGAGACAACAAACCAGATTCCAGCGGAGGAAGAAATCAGGAAGAAGCGCTGGAAGTGGATTGGGCACACTTTGAGGAAATCACCCAATTGTGTCACAAGACATGCCGTCACATGGAATCCTGAAGGTCGAAGGAGAAGAGGAAGACCAAAGAACACATTACGCCGAGAAATAGAGACAGACATGAGAAGAATGAACAAGAACTGGAAAGAACTAGAAAAGAAGGCCCAGAACTGAGTGGGTTGGAGAAAGCTGGTCGGCGGCCTATGCTCCATTGGGAGTAACAGGCGGAAGTAAGTACTTCTTTGGCACTCCTTTCAGTGACAAACACTGCCGTAGAACCTCACGATCACCCGAGTCAAATGCCGCCTTAAGGTCGAGAAATACTACGATTGCGAGGCGTCTGAATGGGTGTCTATGTTCTAGGACCTGACGTAGAGTAAATATCTGGTCGATACAACCACGTCTAGGTCGAAAA